CCCCGCCAGCAGGCCTGATAGAAATCAACAGAACGACACTCACTGACACCAACTGAAAATCCGGCATACGATTTTCAAAGAGAGAGGTAAAGAATCTCCCCTCTCTCTCCATACACTCACGCAGCAGTGCCCAGTCCGTCTGGGAGGAGGCTGCATTTCTTGTCATTCCTTTTGAAATACAAGCATGTGGATGATTGAATCTGCTTAGTCAGGGAGGGGAGCCGTGAGATTAAACTGGGAAACAGATGGGCATCAGCTCAGACCCTTCCACGGGACAGAAAAAAGGTTTATCCCAATGGGGAATTAAAATAACAAAGCAGAGCAATGCTTATAGGTCATTTAATATTTAGTTACACAGCAACTATGGAAATGCACAGTATATTTTATATGGAAAAACCATGCTCTGAAGACAGCTCTTTAATTCACCTTCTCCTCCAATACCTCCCTCAAAAGATCAATGATATGATAGATAGTTATATAAATTATACCGGACAGACTGCTTTCATTACATAAAACTGTTAAACTGCTTGGACAAAATGTATTGCTACAGTGATCACTGAAGGGAATTAAGCTAACTTGATTATCTAGTCTATGCTTTGGCCAGGGAGCAGCACAGAAGCAGGGGAACCTCACACACATCCCCAACCAATATTACATAACTTTAAGTATTCAATACCTGGTTACAATAGCTCTCTGTATGAAAACAACAGAGAGCTGAAAACACTCTAGGGCAGAGATGGGCAACCTTGGCTAGTGACTGGGCCACATGAGTGACCCTCCATTATCTCAGTGGGCTGCAAGATTGTTGAAAGCAAGATGGTCTCCAGGAAGTGGGTAGTTTTGCTAACTGTGCTTAGGTCCCTAGAATTTGTGGGGAGGGGAGGTGGATTGAATTGTAGCAGCGCTTTGATGCAGAAGGAGTGCACAGCTCTCACAGTCAATGTTGTGTGCAATCAGCACATACCTCACTTCATGAGCTATGGCTTTATGTGCATGTCACGCTAGTAATATTGGTAGGAAAAAACCATGTGGAAGGAAACCAGCAAAGTCTGGCAACCCTGCTCATGGGCAATGGTAAACAAAATACCTTGTGGGCCGTATGAAGAACCCCGATGGGCCGTATTTGGCACTCAGGCCACAGATTGCCCACCACTGCTCTACGGCCCACCTACTCCCCTTGCTGCGGTAGTCCCATTGATTTTAAAGGTATTGTTCCCTTGAATAAAGTGAGCAAGATCTGTCCCATAATAGAACACATGGACCACTAACTGCAAAGCACACTTTTGGAGGGTGACACAAAAAGTCTAGCGACTGCTGTATACACTGCTGCATACACTAACAGAAGCCATGGGTAAGTGAGGTACCAGAAATGTAGAAGAGTCACTGAACAGAAATTTTACTGCAATGCTGAAGAATAAAAAACAAAATGTTTGCTGTTTCTAATACATTTGGGAAGACTTTAATACTTTTTTAAAAAGTTAAATATTCACACTGACACTACAAGAAGCATACAGTTCCAATGTATTTTTCTGCTATCCTACCTCAGGCTAGGTCTTCACTCCAGGGAAGATCAATGATGCTGCAATCGATCTTCCGGAGTTGAATTCAGTGGGTCTAGTAAAGACCTGCTAAATTAAAACTCAGAGTGCACCCTCATTTGCTCCCATCAGCCTCCCTCTGTGGGGACAGTGGGGAAACTCAAGACAAGGTATGTCAATTCCAGCTGGAGTTTCATATCTTGATCCTACCTTCCCCTTTAGTGTAGACTTGGCCTCAGTTCACACGTTACTGGCTCATTTAGCTGCTATGCTCACAAAAACAAATTCTGACTGTTCTTTGGCTGTTTGCTAGGCTTAAGAAAATGAGTAATATAGAGAAAGTAACATGACCCCTTTTACAGAAACATTTAAAAGGTCATTATGGTTTTTCATCACATCTTCTTCAGATAAATAATGCGTGATAAAATACCTATGCTACATAGGGCATACAGTTGGATCTCCATGGTCCAGCATCCTTGGGACCTGACTGGTCCCTGATGAGGGATTTTGCTGGACCAGGGGAGGTCATTTTTGGACCCCTGCCACAAGCCCTCCTGTCTCCCTAGTCAGCTCCCCACCTCCTACTGGCCCCGCTGCCCTGCCAATCCACTGGGAAGCCATTGCTGCCATGGCTCTGCCAGGCAGCCCAGCACTGGACCTCCAGGCAGCTGCACACACCAACCCAGGGCTCCATAAGCCCTGCGCTGGGTGGCCCCGGTGTCAGCTCTCTGCGGACAGCCCACTGCCCTGCAAGCCTGCAGGGTTCCTTACTGTTGGCCCTCTGCCAGGACTCTAGTCATGCAACACCCATGCCAGACCATGGATGTTACCAGATGAGAGAATCCTGGTTAGAAGAGTTTCAACCTGTGTTCAGAATGGAGAGGCAGCCTTACGTCTGAATGTCAGTGAAGACTTCCCAGAGCCTTAAAGTATGGTTCCATGATTAGAAGTACCTTCTTACTGAATAAATCTTCCCCACATGTACTTGAGACACTTGTATTTGCTAACTAGCATTATATAAAAAGAGTTTTCAGTACTTTTCACACCCATTTAATATTGCAAAAGCAAACCTGCTATGAGAGAGTGAGCTGAAAAGCATGCTGGATTTTGCATTCACTCTCCCCTCCTGCCGTCTCATTCTAGGGCTTAGGTAGTATCACTTATTTTATTTAAAAAACTGCAGAATAATTGAACATAAAATTCATGGCAAGTACAATACCATAGCATATCAATGAATAGAAACTTGATGAGGTATGCAAAAGTATAATTGTTATACAAAATCGTGGTAGAGGAACGGTAACTTAGAACACTAAATCAAGACACTATTCTATTGGCTAGGATCTTGCATTCCAGGGAGACCAAACACTTTGCAGAATTAGAAAATCATACAATAACATACAGTATTGTTGCTCACAACGGGTGTGTCTATGCTGCACCCGTAACTCGAAATAAGCTACGCAATTTGAGCTATGCAAATTGCGTAGCTTATTTTGAGTAAATTTTGAAGTAGCTTATTTTGAAATTTGGCACCGTCTACGCCACACTTGTTTCGAAATAAATTGCTATTCTGGAACATCTTACTCCTTGTGGAATGAGGTTTACAGGGACATCGGAATAGTGAGCCTATTATATTTCAAAGTAATGGGCATGTTCAAAAGACACGGAATACCTTCCGAAATAGGGCTGCTGTGTAAATATAGCCATCTGGGCCTGATTCCACATGAATGAATGTACAACAGAGTGAGTGCTATGTCCTAGCAAAATCAATGAGATTTTTCACAATATCTAACCATGCATTCATCCAAGGTATACATTTTGCCATTTTAAATGTTCAAATATAAAAGTGTATGTAAACAAGCTAATGTGCCTCTACGGAAGACTGTTTCTCGCCAAATAACTTATTAAAATTACAAATTTTATACAATTTCAACCAAAGACGTTAAATTGAGGGTGCTGGACTAGAAGGGTTCAACCTGTAACACAATAGGATTAGCTTGGGATCTTGTAGAATGGGCAATTATTCTCAAAGAGTACTGCACCGTAACTTGAAATAAGATAAGCAATTTGCATATCTTATTTCGTTGCTATTTCAAAATAGCATATATCGTAATTTGGCACTGTCTACACAGCACCACAATTTGAAATAAAGTGCTATTCTGAAACGTTTCTTACTCCTCATAGAATGAGGTTTACAGGGATGTCGGAATTGCGAGCCCGAAATAACGGGCTTGCTGTGAAGATGCGGGATAGCTGTTTCGGGATACTCAGTGTAGACGTAGCCATAGGAGGCTGAATATCAGCAGCTCAGTAACATACAAGAATACAACTAGAAACCCACTTTGAAAGTCTCTGATCATTTTTTGTTTTTAAACAAAAGATACCAGTGTACAGTAGGGGGTGCTTAAAGGCAGCTCCCTTACACCTTCTTAGTCTCCAAACATGGCCAGGAGCAGAGCTGTGTCTCAGGGACCAGAAGAGGGACAAGGCTTGGGCCAAATCTGGGGACGGGTGCAAGGCCGGTAGTGGAGCCCCAGTCACAGGGCCAGAAGCCTAGCGGGACCAGGAGATGGAATCCTGGGTACAGACGCAGCAGCAGAGCTCGCAGTGGGGTCCTGTGTAAAACAGGGGATGGATACTGCAGTACGCCCCGTACTCCTAGTTCTCGTGCTACGAGTTTTGAGATTTTGGCCTATTCCCCTGTGCGAGGAAGCTTACATACTTCTGCATATTTTAATGCAACGTAATAAGTAGCAATAATATAAATAACCATTGTCTCTATTTAGAAAAGCAGTCCTAATTATGATTTTTACTCAAAAATCTTCTCTTCACACAGACAGTCCCTCCAAACAATCTCTTGTGATCCAGTGAATTTCAGTGGTGTTACAAGAGAAGTGCCCCTATTTATAGATTTCAAATATTGGTAGATGGGCTCTTAGAAAGGTCAGCCTACAGCCTTACATCACCTAAACCAGGTGTGGGGAACCTAAGGTCCGGGGATCACATGCAGTCCCTGGCTTGCCTGGATCTGGCCCCCGCCTTGCCTGGATCTGACCCCGAAGGCCCAATGCTCCTCCCAGCATTGGAGAGCCCACACTTCCGCTCCAACACCTCCCCCCTCCCACAGGGCTGAAGCACACAAAATCTACTAGGCTGGTCCCCCCTAGTCTCTGGTGTGGGAGAAGAATGTGGGGAGTGTCTTTCCCCTTCTCAATTGGGGGCCACATCAGTGAGGGGATTTTTTTCCCCACTTCTTAATTGTGTGCAGCCCCCAACTGACTTTTCTATTGGTCAGGGGCCCCTAACTCATAAAAGGTTCCCCACCCCGGACCTAGACCATCACAATGACAGCAGCAGCTAGAATATTATGGGCCCTCGTCCTTACTCCTTACGCCAGTGTTTCTCAAAGTGTTCCGCGGGCCCGCTTTGGGAAAGATGCTAGCAGGTCTGTGCCACTTTGCTTACCCAATAGGTCCATAGCCACGAAGCCTCGCAGCTCCCATCAACTCTGGTTTGCTGTTTCCAGTCAGGGGATTTGCGGGAAGTGGTGTGGCACGGGCCATGCTGCTTCCTGTGGCTCTCCTTAGCTGGAAATGGTGAATAGGGTTCCCAGATGGTTTAATCAAAAATACTGAACACACACACCCCAAAAAAGAAAAAAAAAACCACCGGGGAAAAAATTCTGTTGAGAAAAAAAAAAGGGGGAGACCAAAGATGTTGAGCAAAAAACAAAAACAAAAACCACAATGTGACCCCTTTCAGAAATGCCTTTGAGGCTTTTTCGCCTTTACAGGCTGTCGGTGGCCATCTGCGGAACCAGGTAAGCACCCGGGATTTTCGCCTCCTGGCTGGGAAAAAATCAGAAAATCAGACACATTTTAGGTGTCCGGTGTTTTCTGAATTTTTGTACTGACCAGGAGGCGAAAGTATCAGACTGTCCAGGTCAATACCGGACACCTGGCAACCCTAATTGGTGAAAGAGAGTCGTGAGGCTCCGTGGCTATGGACCTGTTAGGAAACAAAGTGGTGCGAGCCCACAAGTGGCTTTCCCAAAGCGGGGCCGTGGAACACTGTGAGGAACACCGCCTTACGCTGTTCACAACTCCTAACAGAATCAGTACCAAAGGACAGTGAAGAGATAACACAGATTTGGACCCTGCACGTGGAAACCATCACAAAGTACAAGTGGGGCAGACAGAAGACAGCTGAATTAAATCAAGAACGGACATAGATGCCTGACGTGTTGCCACCTCACCTAGTGATGAAGGCTGTCACCTGGCCTAGAGGCTGAGCATCCCTCATGTTTTTCTTTCTCCCCACTCCACAGCTCCACTGGTTTATGGGATGCTCTAGGAAGTACTGTCTGAGAGCTCCTACAGTACTGTTTTGCAGTAGGGGGCCTGTTTTAGCCCTCCATTTTGTTTGTTTCTTTGGGTTGCGGAATGCATGAGATAGCTACAAGTACGAAATAAAAGTGGTTACCACTTAATCCTTTTTGAACAGACAGACACAGAGATAACAGGACCCTGTATTAAGCCAGCCCGCTCCTATTGTACAATGTGATCCTGATCTAGTATGTCAGCTGTCAAAAGGGAAGTTGCTTTTGGTAAACTAAGCAAGTTCTGCAGCAGCCACTGCAGCATTGCACTACACATCCCTCGCACATTGCAAGTGACCTTACCCTGGTGCTTATACACTATGGTGACTGGCATTCTATAAATACCTTAGATTAGACAGATAGAGAGATAGCAACCACAGCATACTGCAATGGCTGAAAAGACTGAAGCAAGGAGAAAAATATAAAATGCAGATCAGTGTCACAAAAGTTTGTAAACACTGATCCATTTGAACAATTTTAATAAGAGACTCTCATTTAGCAACCACATTTTAGATTGTGTAAACACTAACTCCCTCCCCCATCATGCCCTGACTTTTTTGTTGAATTTAAAAAAATGTTTAGATTTAAATTAATAATCTGCAGGGTTTGCAGCCCCAAAACCAACTGAGTTAGTTCATGACACCTTAAAATGAAACCGACTAGCAACAAAAAAAGGAATCGCAAGAACTAACCTATTTTCATTGTCCATGGAATAAGGAGTATGAATAGAAAATAGTGAAAATTACATTGGATTTCATAATTTTTCTTTTGTAGTCAACTAATTAGTTGATAAGGCTAGGAGATTCATAAAATTGTACTCAACAGTCTCCCCTTAAAAGAATGTTGTCAGCTTAAAAATGTAATAAAAATTACTTGAGTTAAAGATAGTTTTAGGTACTACCTTGCTTGGAGTCCACCTACACAATATAAATTTAATCATTGTGCATGGATAGGAAAGTTAATTGCAATCTGTGGTGGTGAAGTGACAGGCAGGATCAGAGTTGAAAAACTTAAATATCCACGCTCTGTACTCCAGAATCAGAAATGGAGGGCCTGATAACTTCAGATTTATACCAGTGTGAAAAGAGTAATTCCAGTATAGTCACTGTAGTTATATGGTAAGTAAAACAGTGAGGAAGGAGAATCAGGCAATACATTCCTTACATGTTGTTAAAAGTGCAATGAATCATAGAATCATAGGGCTGGAAGAGACCTCAAGAGGTCAAGTCCAGTGCCCTGCCCAAAGCAGGACCAACCCTAAACGAATTTATCATTCCTTTCCCCTTTTCTTATATGTAACACGACTCTTAACCATGCTGCTTGGCCACGATGGGGTATATCTAGTCAAGGAGAATGTAAAGCGTATGCCAATAAAAACAGATAATAATTTAATAAAATTATCACTTTTTATACCTGTCTAACAGGTACATGCAACAGTGTAAACAACAGTGGGAGTGGTGCAGCTAACTCCTTAAACGTTTTGCATCAACACTATGCTGACTTTGTGCAGACAGAACCCTCCCTGTCATCTGTAGAGATTTGCCTACACAAGGACTGTCAGTGAATATTTACATCAGCATTTTAGAAAAACAGGGATAGGAGAGGTCTGGTGTGCACATTTTCTACAAAAAGTCTAAACAACTTTGCTCCCCAGAAAATGTGCGGACCCCGGTCCAACGATGAGAAGATTATGAACAAGGACAAGTTTAAACTTTGGAGAAACACAAAACATTTTCACAGTCCTATTTGGGGTAAAGAGAGAAACACTTCCTTGCCCTACATATCTTCCAATCCAAACATCGGTTACAGTCCTGTCCTACTACAGAGCACCTCATACAGGGGCCGAGAGAGAGTGTAACCAGGGGAGGACAGAGGAAGGCAGGAAGCAGCAGCAAAGAATAGTTGGTAGTGACAGAAGACAGCAGGTCAGGAAGACAGGGGAACTCATGAGAGCTTTGAGGTGGCATTCTGCGTGCTCATGGGCTTGCCTGGCAGCTTCAGCTTGTTTTTTTCTGCTTCCTGGGAAGAGTTACACCACGCATGGGAACAAATGTGCGCACACCACCGCGCTGGAAACTTGCTGGGAAATACTATCCCGCACCCCGGCCAACTTGTGGAAGTCAGACCTCAGCCGAGCCCTGAAACGGACGGGGAGAGCTGGGCGGCAGATGGGCACAGTTGTGCGGGGTGGAAGACCTACCCTTCGCACACCGGGGTCTGGGACATATGCAGTCCCGGCTGGGGAGGGGGATCTGCCTGCAAACACCCCTCCTTCCCCCCCAGCACGTAGCAAAGAAAACCAGCCCAGCAGGCAAGTGGCAAAGAATACAAAAGTTACTTCTCCTGCTGCCCCACAGCTCCCAGCCTGCCCAGCTCCCAGCCCCTCTCCTGCCAGGCACTGCCCGCGCCCCTCAGCCAGGCCACTAGTCTGGGGGGCGCTGTCTTTGCACAGGGGAGGGGAAAGTACGTTACCTCTCCGCCTAGGCAGCCATTACATAGGAACACATTGAGCAGGTTTTACTACAACTCCCATGCTCCCTCTAGCCTACATCTCCCATGAGCCCCTTGTCCCTGCCTCCCCTTAGCCCCTCAGGCAAACCTCGCTCTTCCAGCCTGCTTCTTTTTTTATCCCAAAGGGGAGTGAGCAGCATTCTTCCCTCCCCACCCTCCCCTGCGCCCTCCTTTTACAGATGGGGAATCTGAGGTTGAAAGAGGAGAAGTGGCTTGTCACACCGCAGGTCTGCGGCAAAGTTGGGACTAGCTCCCAGGACTCTGAAATCCACACTGCTTCTGAGAATTGTTTTCTTTCCAGCCAGCCTTTATGGGATCTGTCCTCTTTTTTTTCTCCTGTTACATGACATATCATTATTCATTGTTATTTATTAATATTACCATAGTGCCTAGAAACCAGGGGCTTAGACCAGGTCCCCTATGTGTTACAAACAGAACAAGACGGGCTCTGCCACAGAGCATTCACAGCTGCGGTGCCTGCAGAGAGAGAATGAGAAAATGCTATTGACAGACTATATAAAATAAGCCCAGCAAAGTGGATAGTCATGATCTAATAGTCTTTTCTTTAAAATCCGTAAAATCTATCAGTCAACAGACACTCTATACAAGTCAAAATCAAAAAGTTTCATAGAATGATAGGACTGGAAGGGACTTTGAGAAGTCATCAAGTTCAGTTCCTTCCCCTCACAGCACCATCTAGACCAGTGTTTCTCAAAGTAGTCTGTCAAACTACTTTGAGAAACCTATTAACTGGCTGCACCAATTTGTTTATTTGCCAGCACCATGGCCATGGATCCTCGCAGCTCCCATTGGCTCGGTTTCACTGTTTGCAGCCAAGGGGAGCCATGGGAAACAAATGATTAGTTAACAGGTTTCTCAAAGGTTGCTACATCTTCATTGTGTGTTCTTCTGGCAGAAAATATGCTAATAAGGGACTCATTAGCATAAGTCGTGATCTCATTAGCATATTTCCTGTAGTTTCTTTTTGTGCAAGAAGGTGCAGTATAGATGCTCCTTCTTGCGCAAAAGCCTCTTCAGAAAAAAAATGGTGGCTCATTAGGTATGCAAATGAGGCTCGGCGATATTCCACGCTTAGCCTCATTTGCATATTACTTGCGCAAGAAGCTGCGAGTGTAGACATAGCCTGCTTGTTTTTGCACAAAAACTCCTAGCGCAAAAACGAATTGGCAGAAAATATGCAAATGAGATCACAACTCATGAAAATGAGCCCCTCATTAGCATGTTTTTTGCGGAGAAAACTTGTAGTGTAGATGTAGCCAAAGTGGTTTCATGGACCACTTTCCAAAGGGGCATCTGCCTTTGTATATTGATACAGCATTTGCCTTAAGAACTGATTTTACTTATTTTCACATACAAAACAATGAAAAATCTTTTTACACTCATGCTACTCTCCAGATTGCTTGCGTATTAGTGGCAGAACTCTCAGGAAGCGCTGAAATCACATGAGCCACTGCTCCCACAAACAAAGGAATGGAGGGGAATGTGAATGTGGCTCCAAAGCCTTCTGCCCTGCCCGTTACCTGACATGCAACAAGAAAACTCTTTCTGGTAAATAAACTACTGGAGAACACTAATAATGCAACTTAGCCAGTTATATGGAAATTACCAATGGAAATGCAGCAATCACATCACTTAAACCTAGAGTCAGCAGTGCATACCTTTGCTCATCTAGGTAGCACTTCGGACTTACCCAAAATTCGTACTTTCTTGTTCTGGTAGGCTTCCTCTGTGCTTGATGCAGTGCATCTCCATGTCTTTGTATAATGGCATAAGGATGTATCTTGTTTTCCGTCTTGCCTTCCTCTCTGTAATGCACAAGAATGTGTGTCTCCTGGCCTATCAACTCTGCTTTCACTCTGCACCAGTCTTTGCTTCAAACATTCTGTATGAAAAGCCCCACAACCTCAAGTATAGGTATGGTATCAGTCCCTCTTGGTGTGGCTAAATTTGACAAAGTATTTTTATTAGAATGACCACACTCCAAACTAGCAGTAGAAATACATTAAGGAAGCTTTCACACAAGTGTCTGTGACTGAGGATTATCGGTAAATTTCTAGGATACTTTTCCATAGTATAGCTATATTCTAGTATAGCTTTTAATCCCTTTAAGCAATCTTTGTTGCAGCTGTCCATTTGGATTGCTATGATTCATGTTCCTCTTATTTTCATATGTAGCTATTGTTTACATGTAATAGAAAATCCCCACTAGTATTTCCCATGGGCTGTTCTCACTTTAACAAAGAGCTTAATTGTATTAGTGATGCAAGGTGGGTGAGGTAATATCTTTTATTGGACCAATTTCTGCTGGTCAGAGAGACAAGCTTTTGAGCTTACACAGAGCTCTTCCTCTTGTCTCTATAGCATTCTACCGTCTGTATTATGTTTACAGTTTGCACACAGAGAAGATGCCGTATTTTATGTTTATATGTCTTTCTGAAATGTTGCAATGTACATTATTTCTTAAAATTCAGAACCATATCACACAAGAACCCTCAGAGGGAGACAAAGCAGGCTGCTCCCTAATGTATGGAGCTATAGCTCAACCCTGCTGGCTCTAGGCTGGCTGCCTGCAAACTGATTACAGTACTTAAGGCCCATATAGCCTGCAAACCTGATGAGGAAACTACTTTCACATTTAAAGTGGTAGCTTGTAATTTTAACACCGTATGCTCTTTTCTTTTGTCTCTTATATGTTTTATGATTCCTTCAGTCTGCACCTATCAAATTATATTCATTTTCAGATATTTTGAAAGAAATTTAGAGGAAAAAATCCAAGTTTGGTACTGAGATGTGATGAGTATTGTTATTCCTGATTTTGGTTTCAAACTACTTTTGGTTTCAAACTACTAAGCACTATTTTATGAAGTCCTACTTAGCTGATATTACACGATTTTTCAAGATTTTGAAAAATTTCCTATCCTGAATCATGAGTCAAAATTTTCAAAAATTTACTGAAAAAAATCTGAAAAAAATTTCATTGGGTCGGTTGAAGTGTTTCATTTTGATAATTTCAAAACCTTTCATTTCAATTTTTTACATTTTTAAAACTAAACTTTTAACCTGAACTTTTTGTTTAGAAAATGACAGAGCTGATCATTTTAATAATTTCAAAATTATTCTCTTCAAATATTTTTCAAAATGGGAAATTAGTTAAAACCAACCCTTCCTTTCCCATGAATAGCTTTGATTTTAACAAACCAACATTTTTCGACAAAGTTTCACGAAAAATTCCTGATTAGTTCTACTTATAATGTTACTTTTCGGGCAAAGCTAGTGACACAGACATGGGACACTGCCTCCAACTGTGGAACCCAGCTATAGTCTAAGTTCAACAGATGGAGCAGTTCATGAATCACATCCCTCTATGTAAATCAACAGCATATCAGACATCACCAGAGACATATATATCATAACACAGGATTCAAAACATCTGTCTGTGGCTTTTGCACCTATTGTCTCTAAACATTGCTATTTTTATTTGGTGCCCAGATTGTCCATATTTTAGTTGGAAAACTGACCCATGAACATAGAGCAGTGTTTCTCAAAGTAGTCTATTGATCTGCTCTGCGGCTATGTCTACACTATAGGGTTTTTCCGGGATACCTCCACCATGTCCAGGGAATGTGTCGGCTCTTCCACTTTTTTTGTGTGGAAAAGCAGATGCGCTCTTTCAGAAGACCTGTCTTCCTCCTCCCATGAGGAAGAAGGGCTCTTCTGAAAGAGGAAGCTTTTCCAAAATTTGGCCCAGTGTAGACGGCAATTTGCGTACCTTTTTCCGATAGGTCCCTGTAGTGTAGGCATAGCCTGTGAAAGCTGGAAATGGGCTGCTCCGGTTTGTTTACTTACCAGCTTCACAACCATGGAGTCTTGTGGCTCCCATTGGCTGTGGTTTGCAGTTTCCAGCCAAGAGGAGCTGCAGGAAGCAGTGGCCTGGCTCATATTACTTCCAGTAACTCCCCTTGGCTGCAAACGGCAAACTACAGCCAATAAGAGTTGCAAAGCTCTGTGGCTGTGGAACCGGTAAGTAAACAAACCAGAACAGCCTGATAGCAGCTTTCTCAGAGCAGTTTTGCAAACCACTTTGACAAAAACTGACATAGAAAATGGGTCTAATCATGCTCTTGTGGAAGTCAGTAGCAAAAAATTGCCACTGACTGCAGACACAGAATTAATAGGCCTCAAATCTCACCACTGTACTATACTTTGCAAAATAAAGTTCAACAGCATTAGGAGCTATGCTATGCGTAGTGGAATATAGTCCATGTTGTTCTTATTATTGATAATAAACGTATATACAGGAAGGTGATGTGACCTAGTGGCTGGAGAAGTAGACTAGGCCTCTGAAAAGCTGGGTTCTAATCCTAGATCTGTCATTAACCTGTAAGGTGAAACAAGTTGTTACCCTTCTCTGTGCCTTAGTTTCTCCATCTGTAAATTGAAGGCCATGATATTAACCTCCTTGCAAAGCACTTTGGGACAGCTAGGTGAAATGTTCATAATAATAAAAAATAAGAGCTATACTAGCACTTAAGAACCCCAGTTGCAGATCACCCTATAGAGACCAAAGAACACTGTTCATTCCCAAGAGAGAACATGACAAACTGCAAATCCTTCAGTTACTGGTTTAATAGAATTAATCAAAAGCACATAATGGTAAATGTTATTCTGCATTTATAAGATTCAATTTTCTTTACACAATTCATTTTCAGACATACCAATATCCTAAACAAAACACACACAAGTTAAAACCAAATTTAACTAGAATGTTTAAAACTAACCCCTCCCCTCAAACAGAGCCCCCAAAACAATCCAGGTGGTTAATCTTATCCCTTTATTATATTGCTCAGCCTTACATAGGATATGAAATACCACAACAAAAGTGTTAAAGGATGCCTAACAACACGTAAGTTTTCAAAACCTATTGAATGATGCAGATATACAGGACTTTATTTTATTCTTGTTTACACTGGGGTAGTTTTGTTGAAGTCAATAGAGCTATTTCTGAAGGTACTCCTGAAGTAGTTCCATTCGCCTTTAGGTAATCTTCATTTTCATAGTTGAAGGCATTTTTATACTGATTTTAAAAGTCTATTGAAGTAAGGAGAAAGAGTCCCATTGATTTCAGTGGTCTTTGGATGAGTCTTTTGGCTGGAATTCTCCACCACAAGTCAAAATACCTCAGCTTACCGCAGAGTTGTTAGCTGCAGTAAAAGGGTAAACTCACTCATGTTTAACAGGATGGATGGATTCCTATAGAGAAGCTCACTCACATGACAAATGGGAAGACTGTGAATTTTGATTGGTAGATGGATTCAATCAATGGCTAAAAATGTACAATTACACTTTTTCTTAAAATAACCACCTTAAGACCAGCAGAATCTGTTGCCTACTAAGTGTCCATGTTAACTATAGAGCAGATTAAATTGCAGATTAAATATTTGCTTACAGTATGGTGGCAACACTCAGGGGATCAAATTAATCCTGGGTATAACCCCATTGATTTCTGTGGAGTTACATTAAGAATGAATTGGGCCCCATTTTCCCACCTTTGCATAGTACCGTTCTCAGGAAATAACAGGTGGCTTCCTGTAGGCCACATAGGAATGCTGAAAAAGGGTTTATTGGGAAAGGGGATTGGCTACATAGAATAAAAACTAGTTCACAGTCTATTGAAAAGAATTATTTTAATTCAGCTTGATGTTTGAGATTCGACACCAAGAACTGCAAGCACAGGTTTCCAGCACATCTGTAATGCAGTAATATTGGGAGCATGCAACGAATGTGACACTCGTTGCTTGGAGGGGAACAAAAATAGGCTAAAAATGTGGCAGTTTCAGTTCTCTTGAAAATCTTTAGTTAATACTTTTTAACCTATGTGTCTAGTATCTCAGGAATCCCATTACAATAATATATAATTTTGTATTGAATTCCCTTGTCTTGTTTTTATTATGAGAGTGTATTTTAACAAACAATTTAAAATTAAAAAAACAACAAATAGTCTAGTAGTACCTTAAAGACTAACAAAATGTAGATGGTATCATGAGCTTTCGTGGGCAAAACCCACTTCTTCAGCTAATCATCATAATCATCTAAAGAAGTGGGTTTTGCCCACGAAAGCTCATGATACCATCTACATGTTTTGCTACTCTTTAAGGTGCTACTAGACTATTTGTAGTTTAAAGTTTTTCCTGTTACAGACCAACTCAGCTACCCCCTGAAGAATTTAAAATTATACTTTCATTTAAAATGATTGTTGCAGGAAGTCTGAAGAGATTATTGCAACAGAGTCTTATGCCTTTAAGTGCTAGATTGTCAAAGCAGGGTGCATGCAAATCTTTGCACATTCCTAAATGCTGCATGTAAATAATCAAAAAGCTCACACACCAAATGGGTATTCACACACACACACACACACACAGGTAGGTGCCTAGCGTGGCCAGATGAAGATGCAAATATCTGAGATGCATAGGCATGTCTCATATTCATATGCACCAATTAAGCAGACGGAAAGAATGTGCCTGCCTAACTTTGACTGGGCCTGCTTTTCACAGATTCAGACACTTCTATAGATAGATGAAGTATTTTAAACATCATCTGGAACTGCAAAACAAGCATTTATGTTAAGGTTTACTGTTCTTGCTTTCTAAAGAAAAACTTTTTTTTTTAAACAAATAGCTATTCATCAGTATCAAAACAAAACATCAGTATCAAAATCAAAAGCAGACTGGTTTGGAAAAACTTTTCTAGGATTTACTAGGATTTCACAAGTATTAACACACTCATTAACTTAATTTCTTTACCATGCATCAGCCACCAACACTTTCTGTTGAGGGTCAGAAAAAGGGGTTGTCTTACACTTATAATATTAATAGCATTTGTACAAAGCAACAGTGAAAAGTTTACCTGGAAAACTTCAGATATTCTGAGTTCTGTATCTTCTGTCAAATTAATAAGACCTGGTTTAAACCCCAGTAGTGACAGTGAGTGAGTTCTGCTCTCATTTACTCTGCTTCAAAGATATTATGGAATTGCAGTAATGTAAGGGAGAGCAGAATTTGGCTCCTTGATCAGAAAATAGAGGTAATATTTACAAAAATAGATTGTTACCCCTCCCCATTGGAAATACTTTTGCTACTATTTTCTCATGTCTCACATATTCACAAAGAATAAAAATTGTGGGTCTTTCAGGTGAATGCCTCAAAAATCAATTATTAATGGGTTTTAAAATCTGAATATTTCATTCATGCTTAATTCTGCAGAGAAGCCTTCAGTAAATGGAAGCATCTTCATAGTGGAATTTGCCATGAGAATAAATCCTGGGGCTGGAGGTTTGCCTATTGCTGCATGGCCAAAAGTAACTGCACAGGTGCACCAAATGCCTTCTGAATTTGACTCCAACAAATACATAGAGCACAGGGTTGAGGCAACAATGGGAAAAGGCAATTTTGCGGCTGATGTAGAAGGCATATGCAATGTTCTTTTGGATCTGGCAGGTCAAAAGGATGATCTGACCTGGCAAAAATTGCAGGAAACAGATGATATTATAAGGTGCCCAACTCAAGAAAAAAGCTACTACAATGATAAGGATGAGTCTTACAGTTCTGTGCTTTCGATGAGATCTTGTTCTGAGCAGAATTTTCAGTATCCTGACATAACAAAATACAATAACAGCAAAGGAAAAGAGAAAGAAGACATTTCGCTGATAACTTTCTACCATTTTCCAATCCAAGTCAGCATAATCACAGACAATAGAATCATCAACAAATTGCACTTCAGTGAAAATCATCTCAGGAATCACCACTAACATGCTAGCACCCCAAATGGCCAAGCTCATCTGAATGCCACACTGCCGTGTCTGAGTACGCAAGGTTGACAAGGGATTCACCACTGCCAGGTACCGGAGAATAGTCATTACGGTCAAAAAGATAATACCACTGTAGTAGCTGATAGAGAAAACAGCATTCACAGCCTTGCAGAGAAAATCACCAAAAATCCATCCATTCAAATGATACATGATCCAGAAGGGCAGCATGCAAGAAAAGACCAGGTCGGAGATGCAAAGGTTCATGATGAAAATGTTTGTTAACGACACAAGGTTTTCATATTTCATTAGGATCCATAACACTAAACTATTTCCTAGCAGGCTAAGAACAAAAGCCAGAGAGTACAGGATGGTGGTGAGATGGGCACCAAATGTGTGGAGATCATCCATTTGACAAGAGTTACCAGAGTAATTAAAATCACTCGTGTTCTCATAGATCGGATACCCATAAATGTCTGAAAGTAAGTATGAGTCAAAGCCAGATCCATCCATTTGGATGCGAGGGCCGAAATGGCACAAATGGAATGTTCACAGCAACTGGTAGAAAATGCCTCTTCTAAATCTTAATGTTTCATGCACATCACAAATGGAGAAGTGCAACTTTAGTTTTTTCATTTCACTTTTACATATTTACCACAAAGAGTTGGAACAGGCCTGCACAACTCTCCCAAAAAAATACCAAACATGCGGGCTAAAAATTTTTGTCGAGCCAAAAAAACAAAACAACAACAACAACACCCCCACGCGTGTCAAGATTTTGTTCCCACACAAGGGAAAGACTCACAGTCACACAAAAAGAGAAGAAATAACTCTGATACAAGTTATAATATGAATGGGGCGTAGATTTATTTCCAAAAGTCATCACAGGCTGCACAGTGAGCCCCTTCGGGCCGCATGCAGCCTGTGAGCCGTATGTTGTGCAGGCCTGAGCTGGAATATGATCACAAATGGAATTATACATTAATAGAACATTAGGCACAGATTTTAATTTTTGCATTTCTCAATTAGCTAAAATTCCAGGTCTCAAAAGCAAGTTAATAGCTACCAACTATTTTACCTGGGATAATTCCAGCTAGAACTGTGTGCCATACTCATTTATTTATATTTAAGAACAGTTAAAGATTTCAGAACCCATATAGTTTTTAGACTGTTCTGAAAAGATATTTAAATTCCATTTAAAATTCCACTGAATTCTACACTCTTTACCCAACACACGAGCCTGTTCCACAATGATTCAGTTACGCAAAAACTTCTCAGACTAGACAAATTCTAGTGCCAATTTATATTTTAGATAAAATACGAAGACGGACATTAGTAATGAGAGGATTTTCAAACTGATATTCTAAAAGATGCAAAGGTATCGATCCAGTCACCCATTGACTATCAACAAAATGTAGTCACTGATTTTAATAGAAGCAGAACATGATGCGCATCATGATGCGTTTGCATTTCCCTCTTCTCTATCTTCCTTTCCAGAACTTTTCCCCTGGAGTTATTTTTTGTGTTGTCCCCATTGACTCACTCTCTGCCATTTTTACAGTAATACAAGTCTGAAGGAAAAGGCTCATGGATCAGTTATGAGCTTTTCTTATTTAAATGAGTACAGGCAGTCCCCGGGTTACGTACAAGATAGGGACTGTAGGTTTGTTCTTAAGTTGAATCTGTATGTAAGTCGGAACTGGCGTCCAGATTCAGCCGCTGCTGAAACTGATCAGCTCATGGATCAGTTATGAGCTTTTCTTATTTAAATGAGTACAGGCAGTCCCCGGGTTACGTACAAGATAGGGACTGTAGGTTTGTTCTTAAGTTGAATCTGTATGTAAGTCGGAACTGGCGTCCAGATTCAGCCGCTGCTGAAACTGACCGGCAGTGGCTGAATCGGACACGCCTGGGGCAGAGCAGCTGGGGTGCTGCTGGGTTGGTCCCGCAGCGCCG